CACACACACACACACACACACACACACACACACACACATACACACACAGATACCACACTCTCTCCCTTTCACTCACTCGCACACACACACACATACACACACACATATACACACACATACACACACACACAATTGCAAACACTTTTTATGCACGACAAAGTCAGGTGGTTTGCCATTGAATAAATTATCTATTTGTCTCACCGTCGCAAGGACTGCAATATAATATGAACGACAACGACCCAGTTATCGATTTAAAACGCTACGGTCCATTAACGATTTTCTCTCCGATATTATGGAAGTTTTTAAATCAAGGCATTTTTGTACCCCTGTGTAAGCTACCCAAGAAATGTGAACTTAAGTACTACCAGTTCTCAAAGTGACGTAATGCTCCGTAAATCGTCCTCCTGTTTAATACTATTTGCCCATACAAGTAGAGTTAGTTTAAGGCGCTGTGACACAAGGGCCCATGAGATATTCATCTAGACTGAAGCCATTTGTCCCCTCCTGTCGCGGGGGAGCTGTGCACACTGTGTTACCTGTGACAGGTAAACAGGACTGTTACAAAGGTCAATGTGTGCCCTGGCGGAAGTAGCTCGTTGTAGACCCACTATTATAGCGTCTGTGGGCTGTACGGGCATAACTTGGGTAGACCAGCTGAGCTCCTCTGAATTTTTTACTCCTGCTTTATTCGGTTCTGTGGTGTGCCGACAGACAAGTAGCAGCACGTTAGGCTATACTTAGTGCTATTTTGGTTCGTTTTTGGTCCTTTTTTTTATTCTTCAGACTTTAATCTTATTCACCGTTTCTTTTCGAGGATAGAATTTCTCTTCCTACAGCAATCATTTCCACCACCCTTTTATTTTCTCTTCTGGGTTCTGACACGGTATGTTCATTTTTCGAACAGGCAAAGGTGGAAAGCTAAATTAGTGCTTGTTTTAAATTAAATTCATATAACAGACCGCTGTGGAGGCGTGAGCGTCAAGTAATAATAATAATATTTTTAAATATTACACTCGTGCAAGCATTTGACTACGTGGGTGAGTCAGAAAGCGACGAGACTGTGTAAGCTGTTGGATCGATAAACGCCACAACATCAACATCGGCGGGAGTCATACCAGGTCGTGTGTGGTGAGTGTGAGCAGAGGAGATGGCCAGGTGTCTTGTGAGTGTTTTGACAGGTGAGTCCATTTTATTATTAATTGTTAATTATCATCTGATACTAGATATAGATCTATATATATAGTTCTGCTAGGGGTAGCCAGGAGGTACAAGGGAGAAGCTCCACTATCTGGTCACTGTGGTGTAGTCAGAGCACTAACTTAGCCAACATAAAAGTTCCATATTATTCAATTCTTAGCCGATTCCGACTTCAGTAGATGATAATAATAATCATAATCATCATCATCATCATCATCATCATCATCATCATCATCATCATCATCATCATCATCATCATCATCATAAGAATAATAATCATACATCATAATCATAAGAGTAAAAATATTTTTTTAAATA